CGGGGCCGGGGCCGGGGGCCGCGGCCAGCGGTTCCCGAGCGTGCAGCGTGGCAGGCGGCCAGGCGGTGACGCGCCTGTTGCTATGGGATCCACCGCCCCTATAAATAACTGAGGAAAGGAACTTTCCTAAGTCAGAGACTTTAGGACGCGGGGCCCAGAACCAGATGGTCCGGAGGAGACGCGCCAGCTCCCGCCGCAGCACCCGGAGCGGTGAAGCCCCGCCGCGCCGCAGGACCTGAGCCGGCCCGGGTGGGCAGCGCAGCCGGGGGCCGTGCCCAGCGCGGGGGACTGAGGCAGGGTCCGGAGCCCCCCCCCCAGGCCGAGCGGGGGCACGCGCAACCCGTCCGGGGGGGCCCCCCCTGCGTCGTCTTCTCCTCCCCGCATCCCCCTTTGCTTTCATGCAACGCCTGGTGGCCTGGGACGCAGCATGCCTCCCCATCCAGCCGCCCGCCTTTAAATCGATGGAAGTGGCTAATTTCTATTACGAGGCGGACTGTCTGGCTGCTCTCAACAAGCTGCACCCGCGGGCGGCCGGGGGCCGCTCCATGACCGAGCTCACCGTCGGGGACCACGAGCGAGCCATCGACTTCAGCCCCTACCTGGACCCCTTAGCATCCCAGCAGCCGGCGCAGCCGCCTCCTCCGGCAGCAGCAGCAGGGGGCAACTTTGAGCCTCCCTGCAGCAGCGGCGGCGGCCAAGATTTCCTTTCCGATCTCTTCGCCGAGGACTATAAAGGCAGCGGCGGGAGCAAGAAGCCCGACTACACCTACATCAGCCTCGCCCGGCACGGCCACCCCTGCGCCAGCCAGAGCCACAAGCCGGGGGGGCTGCCGGGCTGCTTCCCGCCCCAGATCGTGGAAACCAAAGTGGAGCCGGTCTTCGAGACCCTGGACTCTTGCAAAGGGCCCCGGAAGGAAGAAGGGGGAGCCGGGCCGGGACCGGGGGGCATGTCCTCGCCCTACGGCAGCACCGTGCGCTCCTACCTGGGTTACCAGTCGGTGCCGAGCGGCAGCAGCGGGAACCTGTCCACCTCGTCCTCCTCCAGCCCCCCCGGCACCCCCAACCCCTCCGAGTCCTCCAAGTCCGCCGCCGCCGGCGGGGGCTACTCCGCCCCCCCGGCGGGCAAGAACAAGCCCAAGAAGTGCGTGGACAAGCACAGCGACGAGTACAAGCTCCGCCGGGAGAGGAACAACATCGCGGTGCGCAAGAGCCGCGACAAAGCCAAAATGCGCAACCTGGAGACGCAGCACAAAGTCTTGGAACTGACGGCCGAGAACGAGCGGCTGCAGAAGAAGGTGGAGCAGCTCTCCCGGGAGCTGAGCACCCTCAGGAACTTGTTCAAACAGCTGCCCGAGCCCCTCATCGCCTCCTCGCCTCGCTGCTGACCCCCGGCCGGGCCGCGGGGCGAGCGGAGCCGCCGGCTCCTCGCCCTGCTCAGCGCTCCTGCCGGGCCGGGGCGAGGGGAGAGCCCGGGGGGGCGGGTTGCTTGGTTGGTTTTTAATTTTTTTTTTTGGCCGGTCGGTTTTTTTTTTTTTTGGTCTTTATTTACATGTTGGCGGAGGGCCCCGCCGCCGGGGGCCGGGGGCTGTCAGCGGTGGGACCTCACCGGGGGCCGGGGGCTGTCAGTCAGCGGGGGGGGGCCCGGCCCCGGGCGGGCTCTGCAGGCTGCTGGGCGCTGGGGTTATTTAAAAGAGCGAGAGGAGAGCAAGGGCAAAGTGATGCAATCCTTTAAGCATGGCTGGGAATGCTGTGTACATGATGCAATCTCGTGTAACTGTCAGTCATGAATTGAGTAATCTGTTAAAGATGTTCCTACAGTTTTTTTTATTATAAAGAATAATCTATTTCTATAAGAAAATACATATGTATATTTTGGGAATCTATGCATTCTTGCTACATTTGAAGCATTAATGAACAATTTTAATAAACTTTATGACTAGGTTAAAAACAGTAGCTTGTTTTATTTTGCAGGCACGTTTAAAGTTAGATTAAACGCAGGGTTGACATTCTAGCTGATCTGGCTCAATGCTGTGATCAGGGATCAGGATTTTTGTTGGTCTTTTGGCTTTCTCTGTGACTCAGAGAAAGGAAACAAAAACAAAAACAAAAACCAAAAACCCCCAGAGAAACCCAGCAAAGAGCAGAGCTGGAAGCTTTAGCCCATTCTTGTTGCCTCATTTTATTTCCTCTAATCACTTGCTTTAGCTGCCTGCCGCTTGGGTGTTGTTTGGGGAGGAGGTGTTTGTGTTGGGGGTTTTTTGCGCTTCTTGCCGTTCTGAACGTGTAGAGCAAGATATGCTATCCAAGCCATGACCAGTCTTTGGCAAAGTAACACCAAGTCTGAAGTGGGAGGGAGGAAGAAAAAGTAAGGGAGGAAGCTTGAAATGAGTTTTTGTTTGGGGTTGGTTTTTTTTGGTTTTTTTTTTTTTCTTTAGAGAGTTTCTATTCTCTAAGTTATGATTCAGCATTTCTTATGTTTGTAGTTTACAGGAATAAACATGAGAAAGTAGCATTTCTGTTGGATGTCGGTAATTTCGGTCATTGCTCAGGAAGCTCTCATGACACCTGGCCAGGTGAGAGGCATATGAACGACTCCCTTATCTTTTCTCTTGAGACATTTTTCTAAAAACTGTAGATAGAGTTTCTCTGATGAGATGTGTTCATTTCTGTGTGCCTGGATGTTTGCTGGGGACAAGCGACAGATAAGGGGGGGGGGGGGGGGGCGGGGGGGGGGAAGTTTGTAGCAGGCCATAACTTTATTTCAGAGAAAACTAAGACTCTGCCTGCTGATGGAACAAGCCAGCCTTGCCAGGGCTCCCAGGTTGTGTTATTCCCCCACCCCCCGCCCCGTATATAGCTGCTGTGTCGAGGTCTGTAAGAAGTTAACAGTCTCAAGCTGGTTACGTGGAGGGAGTTGGGCAAATGATCGGGTCTTACTCAGCATTTTCCATTTTCCTGTTAGGCCAAATTTAAGCATTAAGTTTTTAGATCCCAGTTTCCCAGTGCCCCAGAAAAGAAACTCCTTAATCATCTATGCTGTTTGACAGCTGAACACAGAATGGGTCTTCAGTATAAAGACAGTGGACTTGAATTTGCTGCTATACATTCCAATATAGATTGCAGAAGGACAAATCTTCAATTTGTTGCTTATTTCTAGTGTTTCTTTAAGGAAAGCATGTTTGCTCCTGAAAGAACTGTTTTGCTTTTTTTTGACACTTAAGATAATAGCCTCCTGCGGGTGAATCTCCCAGAGCTCTTACTGGAATTTGTCACATATTCCCTGCTCCCGCAATGCCTCCATAGCTCCTGCTAGGAGCTGTGCAGTAGTAAGTAGTGGAGTGTTAGTCCTGATACAGATTTCACCCATTTGCTTTTTAATTTGTACAGTGCAGTTAAGTTGTTTTTATGAGACCCTAAGAATAGATTTTCTTGGGTGAGCTAGCTCCTGCACCAGCATGACTCAAGTTCTTGCAGGCAAGATAGACGTTAGATCTTGTCTTGACTGTCCCTCGTGACGATGATTACTCCAGCCTCCTGTGGCTGTTTATTCTACTATTCTTCTAGTTACGAAACTTATCCACATCGTTAGATCCTATTTTCTTGTTGTGCTGTAGGCCATGTAATGTTACCCAAACTTACAAGCAGTGTTCCCAGTCAGAACCGAGTGCTGCTGAGAGTGGAATTGCTGGAGGACTGAAGATGTCCTCAGATACATTTCTTTCTTTCTTTCTTTATAAATGATAAAGCTTCCAACAAAAGTTCAGTTTGTGGGGGCTGGAAGGCAGGGTAGATTGAAAGATAAGATGTACTAAAGGTATTTATATTTGTTTAAATAATAGTCCGGTTTTGGAGATAGAGCTCTATCAGGCATGAATGAGCTAATCCCCGTCCTTAAACTTTGCCTGCCACAGTTCAGGAGAGCCAGTGCGGTGTTCCTGCAATTTAAAGAATGATGTTTAAATTACTGCTTTATTCCAATTAGCATTACAGATTTCTCATTCAGGAGGAAACTTGTGCAGCAATGAGTTTTTGCCAGAAAGATGCAGTTACAGACAGGAAAGTTGAGGACATAAATGCACCAATTTTACACTAGTCTCAGAAGGAATCCGTGAAAGAGTCAGAAAGAGAATTCCCGAATCCTTCATTCTTAATCTTGTATTTCCCACATAACTTACATTTTAGGAGCTTTGTAGCCTGATTAAATGCATGGAGGTCATAAAATACCCTGCTTTATAAACAAGCGTATGAAAAAGCCCCTGTAATTAAAACATTTCCTCGAAAAAAATAATCTGGAAAAAAATAGTTTGGAAATGAATCTGAGAAAACTCCACGCACTAAAGTAGGCAAAAGATTCCAAATACCATTTCTAATCACAGTGGGGGAATTGGAAAATCCCTGTCCAAACAGTGGCTCAGCTCCAAATATTGATACAGTTTCCCATTACAAATAAGATTCTGTTGACTGAAAGCAGTACTGTGGTACGTCTCGGTTGTCTTCTGACAGGGTCTCTTGAGCTTCTTTTCCTAAAGTGACTTCGGTACAGCTTGTGGTAAGACTTTGCAGTCTATATGCAGGCAAACCTTGCAGAGTAGTTAAGGCACTTACTCCAGTAGTCTGTTTTGAATTTTATGGAAGTTTATAAAGAGCATTTTGTTTGGGCTTTCCCCCCCCCCCCCTTTAAAATGATTTATTACATTGACTGATTCATACAGGTTTTTCTTGATACTACTAAAATAATAGAGTTTCTTCCTATGTACAAATAAGTAAGATCAAATCCCTAGCACTGACATCCCCTTTGCAAAGCATCTAGCACTGTTTTATCATTTGCTAGATGTTTGAATTCAGTTGTTAGTTCTGCAAAAGGAATCAGATGTATAATTTTAAAACAAAATATTTAAAATACAATACAATTTTGTTAGCAGTTCGTCTATCTATTAATAGAAATTATTACTCTCTGCTTATCTGTCCAAAGCATGTATAACCCCATGCAGCTCTGACACTGTGGTGTTGCTTTTAGACTTTTCCCACTGCCTTCCATTAGTGACTGTTGGAAGATGCAGGAAAATTTACGCTTGTTTCTATACTAATCGTTTCTCCTCTATTAAATAAAATCACCCAAATTGCACACATGCACCAAAGGGTTATTGGGCGGGAGACTTGATCACATTTGATAACAGTATGGTTTTTTCCTCATTGAAATTCTGCGATAGCCTTCAGATATGGAAATTACAACCTGAAAAAAGCTTTGTGCACAATGTTAACCTTTACCATTTCATTGCTAGAACAACTGTCATTGATGTGGATGTGTATAAAAATATGAAGTTACTCTCATACTAGCTAGTTTTCAAGCAATGTTTCATTAGCTGTGATCAGAATAAAAGTCAATGCAACTCAGTATCTGCTTTAATAAAGAGAAAAAATTTATATGAGGCCAAATCACACATCTTCTTTTGTTATTTATAGTGATATCGCTTAAGATACAATAAGCATTGTCTTCCATTTTCCTGTCATTCATACTGATACAAAGCGAGTGTAAAGCACCACCAAACTGGAATGGCAGGGTTCTGCATTCAGTTTGTACTGGATATAGATGATTATATGGTGGATGGGGGGTAATGACGAATTTGGTTCTAACTCTTTTTGCTACTGATTGCTAATGCAAAAAAATTTTTATTACTACCCTCCTGAGTGTTAGCCTTTTTTATGTTTAAGTCTACGCAAATGCTTAACAGTCAGAAGTTTAGGGCAAACCTCTTAGACTAATGTGAAGTGTGAAGAAAAATTTAAACCTATGCATGTATGTTGAAAGGGTCCTAGCACATTAATCAGGAAATCCAAACAAAAACTAGGGATATAGTTAACTACTCCCAAGGAAACAATTCTGTTCAAATTCTGAACACTATTTTTAATTAATCAATAAAATAAAAATAAAACCATGTGGCCAAAACTGTACATTAAATATGTGAGGGCATTAGTTCTCTTTTGAGAGATACTCACTGAACAGACAAGTGAAATCATTGAAAGAATGCAGTTCTATTTAACTCTTTGCTGGGACCCAAAACATAGTCTGAGAGTTTAATCTTTGCAGCGTAAAGCTAAAATTTAGTAGAAGCTGTACACTTGGATAATATCCTGAGGTTCCTGACTCTTTCACGTGAACTGAGGCTGTTTTGTCCCAGCCGGGGCAGATCAGCAGCACAATTTATGGTGAGTATGTAAACACCTAAAAAGATTAGATACAGCCTTGGATTGACATCAGGATCATGTGAAATTTATGGTGTGGTGTTAGTGTGATGCAAAGCTACGTGAAACTCCCGGGTTTCTCTTTGAGATGATCCTGGAAGCGGCAGCGTGGCCGCCTGGAGCACCACACCACCCCTGGGGTTTGATGCCAGCACACCAGTCCTCAGGAGCTGTAGTCAAGCACAGCTCTCCGGTTCGGCATAGCCGTAATTCTGATTTGGTCAGTCTGACCTATTGGAAACTCTGTTGGAAACCAAAATGCCTTTTGTGATCGTTTTCCCACCTGCTAAATTGTTCAAATGTTTTGTTTTGAATAAAAGGCTTTCCTCCCCTCCTGGAAATGTTGGTGGTTAGATCTGCCTGTATGTGAAAAACCATAGGGCTGGAATTCAAGACGAGGATAAATGGGTTAATAGTTGCTGAAGCGAATTGATTTGCATTTGCAATCGGCACACATTTAGTTCCAAACCTTCTGACTGGTTGCCACAATTTCACAGAGCAGCACCAAATTTAACCCTCATTTGTTTTAAAATTTTCACAAATTTATGTTTTTACTATTAAAATGATTCATATAATAAGTAATAATAAATTCCAATAAAATTTTCTAGCTAATTAAAAGCTAAGGAAGACTTTGATCTACATCCAGTTTTCACCTTGCCCTGTCCTTTCAACTGTTGCCTCTGGGATTCCTGTATCACACATTACATTGCTATCAAAGCACTTCTCAGAGTTCAGGGTATTTAAATCAGAGGGTTTCGTTAGGTCTCAAAATTTCATACAGTTTGCAGAATAAATCCTCTAAGAACTCACTCATTCCCTCCATAAGGCACACTGTAGAAGTGCTGGCTCGGTCAGCAGACCTGGTTTTGATGAGCTCGCATGCAGACGCCTCTGTACATCACGCCAGTCAAAGTAAAGAACTGAATTTTTGATGGAGGCTACAAGATGCATTGGTTCCTATCCCCATACAAACCAAGCGCAACGGCTTGTTTGTTTTCTATAAATACCTTGGGTTTGCTAGTGTATTGCACCAGCAGTTCATTAAGCCTGCAATAAGTAGCTCACTGATGTTGTCTAGAAATTACAGTAATAGGAATCAGTCTCCTTCAAGCAAAGCAAAAACCCCTCTAACACCTCATCTGCTGTATTCCCCTGCTCCGTTAGCTCACCTGGGATCTGGGCGCACAAAAGTTTTGTGATATATTTTCTATGCACGATCGGAGGAGCCTTGGTTTTAGAAATGAATGTCATGGTGACACGATGGGAAAATATTTCTGTGCAACATGATGAAACAATTACTTGGCTGAAGTAATTCAGGAAGGGAATCACAAGAACAAGAGAAAGTGCCTGGAGCCGGTTTGAGAAGCAGAAGGAGAGCGGTGGTGGCTCCCTAGCAGAAACATTGTTTTGCCAATTTCCCCAGCCTCTGCCATCTAGACAATAACTCGGGGGTGGATATTTCTGACAGTGAATTGCCACGCTTCTCTGAGTCTAGGTGTCTTACTTGAAACGATAAAATACAAATTGTCTCTCTTGTTTTTTGAAATACAAAAGGCCAGAAAATGAACAACCTGGAATGTAATTTATTAAGACACTTAAGTATGTCTAACATTTAAATGTATAAGGAGCAGAATACAATCTGTGGGATAACTTGACACAACGAGATCAGTAGAATTACAAAAAAAGGAGTAATCATCAAGGAGTTTGGTTGCTTAAAGGAATGCAAGATGGACCATAGCCACTTACACTTAACTTCAGCACACAAACCAGCTTTAATGCCAGCTCTGTGAAGAACGAACTTCCGAGCAGCACTGCTTTCTTGCTGTTGAGTTATTGATGACCACTCATGGTGGCAGAATATATTTTTGTGCTTAAAGTTAAGAATAGTGCTGATTGCTGGGTTGAGTCCCCAGATCTGAAGGAGTAGAAGAGAAGGCAGAAAGCCTTTATGTATGACTTTAGCTATTGGATGCACAGTGTCCTTAACCACTTTCAAAGCAAATTACATAGCTGCAGAGTTAATGAGTGCAGAACACTGAGTGAAATTTAGATGCAAGGGATAAATACTGAGCTTTGAAACAGAAGAGACAGTTTCTGGTCCTGGCCCTTTATCATATATCTTTAGATTATCAGTTAGCCCCTAAATGTAATAGAAGCTGTATGCACATATGTGCATCTCTAGTTGTAAGTGCAGTTGCCATAGCTGCAGGTATATTTGCCTATTATATATTTAGATCCTGATCTTACATATGTGCTTCATTTTATACATGTAGCTGTAGTGATTTCAGTGGAACTATTATTACTTGCATGATAAATGCAGTAATGATACATGCATAGATCTGTATTTACATGGATGTATTTACATGGATCTGTATATATATGGATCTGAGATCACAGTGTCTCTGGGAAAATTTTTGTGCCTTGCTCAGTTTTACAGGACATGCACTAGCAAATTTTGAGCACTTTCATTTCATGTGTTTTCAAATTCGAGAGAGCTACCTGTGCACATGGGCTGATTTGGCTGTCTCTTCCTGTACAAGAGGAGATGACAGTAGCTTCAGCATTTTTGCATCTCCCAGTGTCCTGGTTTTGGCTGGGGTAGTGTTAATTTTCTTCCTAGTAGCTAGTACAGTGCTATGTTTTGGATTTCGTATGAGAGTAATGTTGATAACACACTGATGTTTTCAGTTGTTGCTAAGCAGTGTTTATACTAAGTCAAGGATTTTTCAGCTTCTGATGCCCAGCCAGCAAGAAGGCTGGAGGGGCACAAGAAGTTGGGAGGGGACACAGCCAGGGGAGCTGACCCAAACTGGCCAAAGGAATATTCCATACCATGTGATGTCCCATCTAGTATAGAAACTGGGGGGAGTTGGCTGGGGCATTTACAGATTGCTGCTGGGGAACTAACTGGGCATCGTTTGGCAAGTGGTGAGCAATTGCATTGTGCATCACTTGTTTGGTGTATTACAATTCTTTTGTTGTTGTTGTTGTTACTATTATTATTATTATTATTATTATCCTTTCTGTCCTATTAAATTGCTCTTAATCTCAACCTATGAGTTTTACTTTTTCTCCCCGGTTCTCTTCCCCATCCCGCTGGCGGGGGGAAGTGAGTGAGCGGCTGCGTGGTGCTTAGTTGCTGGCTGGGGTTAAACCACGACACCCAGGAAAAAAAAAAAACCCCAAACAACAAAACATCTGACAAGTGGGCTACAGCCTATGTTCTAACAGCTATTGTTGGGTCCCAATTTGACAAAGTACTTGAGTGTATGTTCCACCTCAGCAGAAGCAAAACAATGCTGAACACAAGCTTTAAAGTTTTGGATGTGCCAAGTGCTCTGCTGAAACACATCCTTCTAGAGCCTCAGCTGCAGCTGCCTGGCCTCTGGATTATACTGCTGTGATGCAGCTGTGGCATGGGCATAAGTCCTGGGAAAGAAAACATGATAGAGAATCTGGATATCCAGAAAGATGGTGAATGACATGCACTCAAACAGGCCAAAAGGAATCCCAATTTCCTCCTACTGTACTGAAGGAGCCCATCCAGTTTGTATGCTGGCCAGGTCTGGCGAGCCACTGTTCAGAGCGTGGTGTTAGTACCTGGCTGCTGATCAAAGGATTCTTAAGCAATAACCCACTCCACATCAGCAAGAGCTGCTGCCAAGAACCGTAGACTTCTATGGGCTGGAAGACAACTGATAAAGCAGATGCTGAGAAAAGCAATGATGCCCGCATTGGGCAATCTGAGTGCTACAAATGGCTACTGGAAAATGTTATTTTTATTTTAGTTCTGCAATTTCATAAGCCCGATTTGCTAAAGGCTCACAGTGACATGGCATTTTTACAGGGCTTGCTTTTTTTTTTTTTTTTTTTTTTGCAAAGCATTTTACTTAGATGAACAGATGCTCTCACTTTACATGGGAAAACCACTACTCCTTGGTAGTTCTTCCTCTGTCAATAACAAATATGGGTCAATTGTGCCTTTCTCCAGAATTAGCTCCTGTGGATTTTGGCTTGGGAAGGATGGGGCACTCAGAATAGCTGGGAATGATGCACTCAAACCTCTTGTAATACAGTCCTGTGCCTGGTTGTAGGGGATACGGCTCATGAGTGAGGCTGACAGATTGGAAAGGGTTTGGCAAAAAGGACAAGAAAGCATGTGTCCATGTGGTGAAGAGGCCTGAAAAGAAGGAAGTGATACCAAACAGTACATGGTTCTGGGAAGGCTATTGCAAGCTGTGGCAGTGATGGGAACTGTTTCCAACAGAGGCTACAGGCAATGAACTATTTTCCCACTGACCTCATGGTACCATGAAGTGAAAATTCCACTCTAGTGTTTTCTGCCAAGTCCTTAAAGGCAAAACCTTAGCAAATGGCTCCTGCTTTTGCATTAATACACTAACAGGTGCTCTTCTGCACGAGCCCTGCAAGAGCTTTATTACCAGAGGTACACTAACTATTAAACAGCCATAAGCTTAACCTGGTATTTACTGTAGGACTGTGCCTTTTTATTGCGCAGAGGGAGGGAACTCCCTTCTCAGCCCTCCAGGTGGTCCCTTCAGGGCAGGGTTGAGGCACATTGGTGAGAAGGGGTGGGGTTGGGTGGGAGAGGCTTTCATTGCTGCCCTACCTGTTCTGGGCATAAATTGAAATGATCGGTCTCTAAATCCTGCCAATTAGGCATGCTTTACTGGCATTAGTGTCGGTTTACTATGATAGGTAAAACGAAAATGTTTCTCTTAATAAAAAAAAAAAAAAGGAGGCAAAATCCTGCTTTAACACATTTAAGTCCCAGAGCAGGGGTAGCAGGGGGCAGCAGTGCACTCTGTAGGGTACCTGACCTAGCCCAGACAGGCAGGAGCAGGTCAGCATTCTGCAACACAGAACGGCTCAGGGACAAATACCTCCTAATGCGTTTGTGTACCCCCTTCCAGCAGTGACTGTCTATTAGGGAGCCCGTGGAGCAGGGCTGGAGGATGCAGTCTGCAGTCCCCCGCAGCACCCTCTCCTCTGCAATAACTGCACTTTACCAGTCAAGGTAGCATTAGATATGGAACAAAAAAATAGTGGTAACCCTTTCCTAGGCTCCACCTGTGAACGAAGCTCCACCTACTTGGGAGAGCAAAATGAGATGCTTTGTACAAGATTGTGAAACTGCTAATCAAGGTAGTACCTGTGCTCTCAGGTTAGTACCTTCCTAATCTTCTGATCGACAGATTCCTATAATGAAGAGGCAATATGGACCTCTCGGGTCTATTACTTCTTGGTTTCTGGAGACTGAGGCAGACACTGTTCTATTTTGCGCACACTGCTCCCAGTCTGAGGGTTATCTTGGTTACTATAAAGGCCAGAAATCATGGGGTTGGTTTTCTTCCTCAAAGAGAAGTCATCTTTGCAGCATGTGTTTCTGCCTGTGAAAATACAGGTATGCTGTGCTGCCATGCAAAAGCACAAGCTGACTTCATCCTCATCTGCACTCAAAGAAGAAGATGGTGAGGACCATCTCCCGACAGCCCTGTATTCCTTTCTTATGAACCATTCTCACCACTGAAACATTTAGTCTCTGCTGGTCCAAAATAAGCATTTCTGATAACAGCACTTCAGACCTTGGCAACCCCCACTTGCTTCAAAACAGACTTTATTCTTCTGAGAAGGGTTTGTCACTGGCACCTGGGTACATGCAAGGCTTTTTTAGGAAGTAAAGAGGACAAATGGGAAAATCAATTAACCATCTAAAAAACATTTTGTATTGCGTACAGCTCGCCTGTGAAGAGTGCTGCCTTTCACTCTCTTATGTCCTGGGAACTCTGACTCAGCCTCCTGTATCCACAGCTTGTCAAGAGCCACGGTTGTTTATAATCAAATCTTTTGTACAAATCTAGGGCAGAAAAGCCCACTTATTATAAGCTTCTTTACAAATGCAGTAGTAGGTTTTTCCCTCCTCTACCTACCACCATGTCTTGAGGGGAGAAAGGAGGTGAATGTGACCTCCAGATAAACACCTCTCTCAGCTAATTTGTGCTCTCTTCCAGCCTCTCCCCAAGGATTAAACATTTGCTAGGGATCGCGGGAGGGCTTTGGCCACACTACACAGCCAAGTAAGCTGGTGGAACCTCGCACAATGCAGGAGGGCGCTGCACTGGTTCCATGCTAAATGTTAAGACCATGTGGTCGCTTCTCAGCCTCTGCTGCAGAGACTCTGCCCCGTACTAATTAGGTAGGAGTGATGACCTGGTAGTGATTCTGGAGTAAGGAAAGGAAAGTCCTGTATCAGGCATTGCTGCAAACTTGTTTCAGGATCTCAAGCAAGTTACTTCACTTTTCTTTGCTTCAGTTCTTTCACCTGCAGACAGATACTTCCTGCATGTGTCTCAGGTATTATTTGTTTAAAGAACTGTGAAATACGAGATATGAGACTTTGACAATACCATATATTCATTATTTAAAGCTTATATTAAAAGCTAAAAATCTGAATGAATTCAGCAGGGAAAGTCTTCTGGTGAAAATGACTGGAAGAACAACTGTCCCTCTCTCCACACACTTCCCAGGCAGTAACATGACCACACAGAGTTTGGCTCATTATATATGTAAAATAGGCAGATGCTATTAGGAAGCAATTTTTTTCACCCAGTGAGAAGAGAAGCCTATCCCTCATGATGAAATCCTCTGCAGGGGCAATATTTTTATCATGCCTCATACTTCTCAAGGTATTTGAAATCACCCTCAAAGTTGGATACTGTCTTCCCTTTTCTCCCCTTGAATCTGAACACTGCCTTCACAGAATTTCACTGAGTCCTCAGCATTTTCCTTTCAAATTCCCTTCCCTTTGACAGTATGTAATTCCTGATGTTGGTGGGTATCGTCACAGTTTTATTAAGTATGTAATAACAGCCTGTTTAGGGACAACATGTCATGATAATGAACTGTCCATGTAATTAGGCCTGACTCATCAATCAACATGGAAAAGGACTGAATGGAGTTCATAAAAGCACCTTTAAGAGACTGATGGAAATGTTTAAAGAAAAAAGAAATTAGCAGTGTTTTGTATTGTTAAGTATTTTGCAGAGCAGAAATTAATTAGCACTGGAGAGAACACACTCTTCTGGAATGTCCATGTGTGGCCCATTATATCCCGTTTTGCCCTCTGAGTCATCCCTTCGCAGCCACTGATTCAGTGTGAACAGGAGCAGTCACAGTGGGATCAAGTTTAGTGACTTACTGGTGTGAACTAGCAGCCATAGAGGGAAATTTCCCCTTGAGCAGTCACCAGGGTACCATTGGCAAAAGGTGGTGAAATAACTTTTCTAGGCAAAAAAAAAAAAAAATCACATTCTTGCATATCATTATTTTTACTTTTTTACGTTTCACTTCAGGAATTTTATTATTTTAGAATAAATGTTATAAACATGTCTCCAGGAAGCTATATAAATCAGAAGTCTGTATGTATCCCAGACTGATGATCTGAAACATCTGGCTCTTATGCTTGGGCCCTTCTTGCACAGGAGAAATTGCCCCTGTGAAGAGGATGCACACTTCCAAGATCTAAGTGAAACAGAAATAACAAAATAGTTGCTGGTGTGCTTAAGCCTTGAAACTGCACAAGCAAGTTACCAAGGCCAAATCCAGCTCTCTCCAAGTCTAGGTGAAAGGAAGCAAATTATTGAATTACCAGCTTTGCAGCAACAGAATAAACTCTCACCAACTGATTGACTACGACAGTGGGATATCACCCCTAGCTATTGGCAACTGTCCTCTCATCATTAGCCTTCATTAAGGTGGTCATCTCCAAACCAAATGCACAGTTCAGTTACTAATATAAAAGACATCAATTAGATTTATATAAGAGTATTGCAAAATATTAAATAATAAAGGCTGCTACCAAACAACAGCAGGAAGATTCATTGCCCTACAATGTCTGCTTCTCAGACAAAGCCTGGCTATTTTGGGGAAATCACACCTTGACTGGTGACAACACTTGCTTTGTGCATTTGATGTGGGGGAGAGGGGGTACTGCTGGCATACTCTCTCTGTCTAAATCTGACAGCAAGGCTAAGGTTGGCACTTAACTGCATGAATCACCAGCTACTGATATTTAAAAGCTTGCATATGCAAATCACTAATTAAACATATTAGCATAGTCAGTTACCCAAACTGTAATCTT